CTATCCCTCCCATCCCAGCATCCCTCCCTCCCCAGCATCCCTCCCTCCCCAGCATCCCTCCCACCCCAGCATCCCTCCCATCCCAGCATCCCTCCCACCCCAGCATCCCTCCCACCCCAGCATCCCTCCCTCCCCAGCATCCCTCCCACCCCAGGATCCCTCCCACCCTACTACCCCTCCCGCCCAGCGTCCTCCTGCCCGAAGATGCTTTCAATGTGTTCATGGCATCACTGGGCAGCCGCACTAGGGAAGCGTTGGCGTTAATAATGGATTTTATGCCTCCAGGTGATGTTTCCCTTTCTGTCATTGTCCATAGACTGTCAGTTCACCTGAGAAACAGATTTGTCATTCACAGCCTCGGCAGCCACTCGCTGAGAGCGCGGCTCTGGACAATTCCCTTTTCTGTCGTTAGAACGACTGGTCCCCTGTTTTCATCATTGGCCTCCTGAAACTATGAAAGGAAATGGCCTCTGAGGTCCTTTAAGTTCAGGCGCAATCGGATGCGTGGCTTTAGGTGCTGGGTGTGTACCGCAGACTATTTTCGGGAGCCTCGAGTCCCTGCCCCAGCCCTGCCCACTGTGAACATGGGATCCAGCGCTGCGCCCCAGTTCCTGGTGGCCACCATGCCGCCCCATCTGTTCTCTGGGGAGGCGAGCCGGCTGCTTGGCTGCTACCTCCAGCCCCACACCCTGGCTTGTCTGTATGAGGGATTTCAAGCCATTGCTCGCGTGTAGGAGAGTTCCTTGAGGAGGGAACTGGAGGCTCTTGGGTTCCTGCTGTCGTTTCTGTGTTCCTTTACCACCCGGCAGGGACGACGGCCCACGGCCCTCGGTCTCAACCCTGCCCGCAGCCATGAAGCCGGGTCTGTGTCACTACCTGCCATGGTGCCCGGTCACCTTTCAAAGCAGGGTGTGTTGTCCCGTTAAAATTCTACTCGACATGTAAACTGTAAGCACACACACACACACACACACACACACACACGTGCCATGAGGCTCAGTAAAACTACTGCCGTATTTATTTTGAATTTCTAAGTGGCAGTTCACAAACATTCTTGCTTTTCCAGATTTGTTCCCCGCATAAAAGTTGTCACAAGTCCATGAAACCGCATACACATGCATAGAGAGTACATACGAGCGCATAAAACTGCAGGCAGAACAGCTGTGCTGGCTGGGGCTGCCCGGCCTTACGTGTGTCGTGTTGGCCTCTTTCGGGGACATGAAAGGGCTTTTCCCCTCTTTCTTGGAGTCCAGTGTCTTTTTGTTCATTCACCTGTGTGCTAAGCACCTACTATCCCCCACTGATCGCCTTTGTTGCCAGAGGAGGTCAGCAGCAGCACGTAGTAGTTGCACATACCGCGCTGGCAGGGAAGGACAGCGAATCCGAATGAGCCGCGTCCCTGACCCTGAGGGACTGTGTTGGATTCCAAGCAACGTGGAGCGATTTGATTTGAACGAAGTCACGGCATCAGAAGTCGGCAGTCGTTTGGAAACTTGACTCCAGATTCAGTGCAGAGGCCCAAACTGTCTTCCCGCCCCCACCCTGGCTCTGGTTGCCATGACAACATGAAGCATCTTCTCTTGGGGCGCGACCGCCCTCACAGCCTCCTAGCGCGCATTCTGTCCGACCTGCAGTGCACGTCCCCCTGGCACAGCCCCAAGCCAGGGACCAGTCTGTGCTGTCCCAGGCCCCGTGCCCGGTTACCCCCCAAGGGCCGGGCTGTGGCTGAGCCCCCCTGGGGACCATAGGCTGGCTCCCCATCCTCCCCTGCCTGCCCTGCCTCCTTGCTGGCTGCTCCTGGGGACAGTTCCTTAGCAAGTCCCTCCTCTCAGGGTCTTCTTGGGGGGCACCGGACCTACGTCCCAGGCTCGATGTGTTTCCGGGGAATGAGCACCTGTGACAGACACTGAAAGAACTTGGCCGCCCCTTCCCTCGATGTCCCAGGAAAGTTGCCTCTGCTCCTGAGGCCCTCGGCCGGTTCGCAGTCCCCACTGAGCCTCTCTGCTCTTCCAGGTGACACAGCGGCCCAGCTCCCACAAGATGAGGTGTCTTTTCCGAATCAGCTTCGTGCCGAAGGATCCGATCGACCTGTTACGGAGGGACCCGGTTGCTTTTGAATATCTCTACGTGCAGGTACGTGAGCACGCGGGCCTGTATCGTGCGGATGTTGTGGATAAATGAACTGGTTCCATCTCCCCCCACCCCCCACTTCGGTGGGCTTTGGAAGAAAGTGTGGTCCTGACAGCTTAGCAGGAGGACTGATGCTCAGGGAGATACCCGGAGTCCCCAGGATCAGGGTCAGTAAACCCCGTTTATCAAGTAAAGAAATGTGAGTGGACTTTACATCGGTTTTGACCCAAAACAGTGAAACTGTCAGGACTTGGGTTGTTGTTTTTTAATTTTTTAAAAATATATTTGTATTGATTTCAGAGAGGAAGGGAGAGGGAGAGAGAGAGAGAAACATCCATGATGATAGTGAATCATGGATCGGCTGCCTCCTGCACGCCCCACACTGGGGATCAAGCCTGCAGCCCGGGCCTGTGCCCTGACTGGGAATCGAACCCTGACCTCCTGGTTCATAGGTCAACGCTCAACCACTGAGCCACACTGGCAGGGCGCGACTTGGGTTTTTTAAATGTTGAACTTTAGTCACCCGGACCTCTCAACAATGGCCCTTGTTCTCCAACAGGCCAGGGAACCCGCGTGTCACCGCATGAAACTGCCTGATTAACAGCTGGTCTGTTACTGCGTCTTCCCCCCATTCCTGCTGAGAACCAACCAGCGCTTTGCCTCGGCAGCCCAGACCTGGCGCGATGTTTTTTAGCTTGTTAGTTGCAAAGAGATAGTTACGGGTGCCGGGCAGGGCCTGGCCAGGCAGTGTGATCCATTGGGTTGCCGTTCTCGCCAATTCTGTACTCATCCCGTTAACACGATGGTGCTTTAAAATATATTTTATTGATTTTTTTACAGAGAGGAAGGGAGAGGGACAGAGAGTTAGAGACATCGATCAGCTGCCTCCTGCACACCTCCTACTGGGGATGTGCCCACAACCAAGGTACATGCCCTTGACCAGAATTGAACCTGGGACCCTTCAGTCCGCAGGCCAACGCTCTGTCCACTGAGCCAAACCGGTCAGGGCAACATCATGATGCTGTAAAGCCCTTTTGCTCGGCTTCCGTTTTAAACATCAAAATCCCATTGAGTGTGTGAAACAACGTGGTTGCAGTTGTCCTGGGGAGGGGAGCCCACTGGAGTAGGCCAGGAGCACTGCTAAGCATGGCTCTGCAGAAGGTGTGTTTGTCCAAATGGAATGCACTCCACGGAGAAAGACACATCTTATTCAAAAGACACATCTGCCCCCGCCGGTTTTCTCAGCGGTTAGAGCGTGGGCCTGCAGACTGAAGGGTCCCGGGTTCGATTCCAGTCAAGGGCACATATCTTGGTTGCGAGCTCAATCCCTGGCCCCGGTCAGGGCATGAGTGGGAGGCAACCAATCGATGTGTCTCTCTCACATCGATGTTCCTCTCTCTTTCTCTGTGTCTCTCCCCCACCCTTCCACTCTCCCTAAAAATCAATGGTAAAAAAATATCCTCGGGCCCTAACTGGTTTGGCTCAGTGGATAGAGCAACAGCCTGTGGGCTGAAGGGTCCCAGGTTCAATTCCGGCCAAGGGCATGTATCTTGGTTGCGGGCACATCCCCAATAGGGAGTGTGCAGGAGGCAGCTGATCGATGTTTCTCTCTCATTGATGTTTCTAACTCTCTCTCCCTCTCCCTTCTTCTCTGTAAAAATCAATAAAATATATTTAAAAAAATATCCTGGGGTGAGGATGAACAGAAGACCCATCTTTTATTTATTTTTTTTAAAAATATATATATATTTTATTGATTTTTTACAGAGAGGAAGGGAGAGGAATAGAGAGTTAGAAACATCGATGAGAGAGAAACATCGATCAGCTGCCTCCTCCACACCCCCTACGGGGAATGTGCCCGCAACCAAGGTACATGCCCTTGACCGGAATCGAACCTGGGACCCTTGAGTCCGCAGGCCGACGCTCTATCCCCTGAGCTAAACCGGCTAGGGCAAGACCCATCTTTTATACCCCGGGATTGTCCTGAGAACAAGAAACCTGTCCAGGGATCTTGCCCCCGGAATAGACCTTCCCAACTTGGGTGTTGCACGGGTGGTGGATTAGCGACCCCTTCAACGGGCAGTCCGTGGGGGCTATGGGTAGCCACGTGGGGCAGGTGACAGAGACTGAAATGAAGCTGCCATCATCACCTTTTCTCACTTGCACTGAGAACAGGAAATGAGAATTTCTTGGACTCAGACCCTCTGCTTCCAGAGGCCTCGCAGCGCACCATGTGCGGTGTGTCTAAAATAGCTTCTGCCTCGCAGCGGCCAGTGGCTCCGCAGATGGTGCTGTGGGCCCGTGTTGATTCGAAGGTGCTAAAAAGATGCAATAAAATTAGCCTAGAAAACAAAAGCGTAAGCAGAAGCAATATATATCACATTACCAAGACAAAAATGGCCTTAGCCGGTTTGGCTCAGTGGATAGAGCATCGGCCTGCGGACTGAAGGGTCCCGGGTTCGATTCCGGTCAAGGGCACATGCCCAGGTTGTGGGCTCGATCCCCGGTGGGGTCATGCAGGAGGCAGCCAATCAGTGATTCTCTCTCATCATTGATATTTCTATCTCTCCCTCTCCCTTCCCCCCGAAATCAATAAAAATATATTTATTAAAAAAAGAGAGAGAGAGAGACAAAAATGAACTCAGCCTAGCGGGCCCCTAATGAAGACAGTAGCCATTGACTATGGACCGTGGCAATGAAAACAGGTTTCGATGATGATAATATCTATTAATCTCCTGGTCATTGATGGGACCTGAGGTATGGCCGAGATTTCAGCATCTATAGTAGCGTAAATCTTAACAATCCAGACTGTTCTCATTCATAAGTGTAATGAGCCACGCTCACATGTAGCTGTCCCCTATCCATTAAGAAAAAGATCGTTTCGCCAGTTAGTAAACAAGGTAGTACCTGAGGCTACGATGTGTTTTTCAACACTAGCGGGATCTGGCTCCTTTTAAACATCTAGCTGTTCATTGGAAATGAACTTCCTGTAGGACAAACTGGAGTCTCTATTAGGAAGAATGCCCACCATTTGCTTGTGTAACTGTATTTTAAGGAAAGGAGTTGAGGGTCATAAAAGCATGATTAGTACCCAAATATGTAAGTCAGACTTCACATGAATTCTCCAGGAGCAGTCGGAACGAATTAGATGTAATCACATTATGTATAATGTAATTAAGTGGCTAATCACCTTGATAAGACATTCACCCAGAAGTCCCTTTCAAATACAGGAGACACACAGTATAATAGGGATGGGAAGCACAGTTCCAGTCACAACTCTTAGAAGCAAGAGTGATGACTCACCTTTGTAAGGCACATGACATTTGATGAAACATCCTTACAAGTATAGCAGCAACCTTGACATAGCTGTTTTAGCCCATTTTTCATATAAGAAAACCGAGACGTAAGAGAGATGAAATGTCACGTCCAAGGTTATTTGATGAATAGTTGTCAGGCCTAGGCTCGAACCTGGAGCTCTTGTCTCTGAATCCGATGCTAAAACCCTGTTTCCAGGCCATTAAGCAATAGCAGCCGTGGGGAAAAGTGATGCATCACAAAGCTGAGTCGTGTGCCTGTTACGGCCTGGCCCTGCGCTGGGGGGCTCCCTCCCCCTCGTCCCGATGGGACTATAAAATGACCCGCTCTGGGCCCCCAGGCCCGTGCTGCTCCGTTATGGACAGCGCTGGGCGCTTGGAAAGAACTGGTCACCCCAAGACTAGCAGAACCAAATGCTCTCACATGACATGCCCGCCTCGAGTCAGACCCACTTCCCCTGCACCCCTGATGGTGTCAGATCTTAACGGGGAGCAAATGGTAGGGAGGCAAGGGGAGGGAATGACGTCACTCTTGGTGAAGGGGGGGAGGGGCACACACCCAGAGCACGTGGGTGGGAGGTGCATTGCTGGCGCTAGTGCACACGGACGAGGATGTGAAGGTAAACACTGTAAGGAACCACACGGGGGGGGGGGGGCGACACACATGTTCCGGTTTAGTGAAATCGGTAGGTTTGGAAAGGAGGCAAACAAACGCTAACGCAGGTGTCTGCTACAGATTGTCTAGCCCCAAGCCTCGTTTCCCAGAACAAAAACAAGGACACACACGTGCAGAATGGAGGTTAGGCCAAGCTGCCAGGGACATGCGGTTGGGTTGGTCCTTCGCTCCTGATGAGGGAGGAGGATGTCGCCCTAACAGCGGTCGCTTGTCATATAGGACAGGGGTGGGGAACCTTTTCTCTGCCCAGGGCCATTGGGATATTGATAACATCATTCTCGGGCCCTACAAAATCATCAGCTTGAAAATGAGCCTGCTCTAGTTGGCCAGACATTGAATGAACTCGCCCCTCACGCCTCGGCAGGGCCAGACCACATGATTTCACAGGCCTTGTGCGGCCCGCGGGCCAGGCGCTCCCCTGATGTAGGATGTTGCGCTTTACAACTCCCTCAGCCGCTCTTCAAGGTGACGCTCCCGCAAACCCTGTGAGCTACATGGCTCCCTGTTACAGCTGAGCAAACTGGGGTCGAGAGCCGTGGAATGACCGTCAGTGTCACCACTGGCGTGAACTGAGCATACTTTTCCATTGATTTTTAGAGAGAGTGGAAGGGGGGGGAGAGATAGAGAGAAACATCGATGTGAGAGAGACACATTGATTGGTTTGGTTGCCTTCTGCACACCCTGACTAGGGCCAGGGAGGGAGCCTGCAACCAACGTACGTGCCCTTGACCGGAATCAAACCCAGGACCCTTCAGTCTGCGGGCCGACGCTCTATCCACTGAGCCAAACCGGCTAGGGCTGAACTGAAGGTTTGACTAGCTCCCCTTTCCCGAATGCACGGTGCGCTGTGATAAAGCACTTTCTTTGCATCCCGTCTGAGCCGCCACCACTACAGGAGGTGGTTGGTGTGAATGCCCATGTCACAGAGGAGCACACTGAGGCTGCGGGAGAAAGCAAACAGGTCCAAGTTACACGCACAGGTGGTCCCGGGCCAAGCCAGGACGCCGCCGCCCCTCATCGCCTGGCTCATGCCGCCTCCCGAAGCTGCTCTAGATGATGACAAAGAGGAAGGTGGCGGTGACAGCTGTTAGCACGTATGAGCGCTTTCACTTTACCAGAGAGAGTTGCCCGGGCTTTACATGCTGACTCATGTCGCCCTCACAACAACCCTGTGAACAGGGAGCAGTATCAACCCCAGTTTACAGAAGGGGAAACTGAGGCGCACAACCAGGCCCTTTCCCAGTGTCATGCCCCGGTGAGGCGGAAGGACAGGATTGGAAGCCCGGATCCCCAGCCCAGCAGCCTAACTCCAGACACCACCATGCCCGCAGGGCTTCGTGCGTTCACTTGCAGCACCTGTGTTTGGAAATTCCATACCTGAATTCCTAATTCTTTCTACAAAAAGCTAAATATTGAAATAGCAGCTCGCTTGTCGATGGATGGTAAATATTTTGCGTGGTCTGTCTGTTTGTGAGCGCGATTCAATATTGACTCGTTGCAAGCAGCGCGGGGGAGATGTTTCCACATTTAGCCTCCTTGCCTCTGAAGTGAGGGGGGATGTGGTCACCTGTTCCAACCAGGCAGTGCCTGGGCCCATTCTTTGACGAGCTGCGCCCCCTGCTGGTCTCTCTGCAGAGTTGTAATGATGTCGTACAGGAGCGATTTGGGCCGGAGCTGAAATACGACATAGCCCTGCGGCTGGCGGCCTTGCAAATGTACATCGCAACCGTTACCACCAAGCAAACGCAGAAAATCTCTCTCAAATACATCGAGTAAGTGTTTCCTGGGAGTCGTTTCAGAGACGAAGTTGCTGCCCCCCCTTAACGGCCAAGTGCATGTTTGACCTATGTCTATTTCCAAACTGGATCTTGCTTGTGGCAGACCATTGGTTAAACATGGGAGAAATATACGACTGGCAGGTTCATTTTGGGTGGAAGAGATCCATTTCTTACATAAGCCACATTTGGAGAATTGCGGTTAAAATGAGGGTCAGATTGAAAATGAAACACATTTCTAAACTCCTACACAGACTTGGTTCCAAGCAAGCTTTGGTCTCGTCACTTTTCTGGCGTTAAGCTGCTTAATTCTCACAACATCCCTGTGAGATAAGAAAGGTGTTGGCTCCATTTTCTAGAGGAGCAAACCAAGGCACAGAAGGGTGAAGTGATTTTGCCCCAGTCGCCCAGGCTAGAGAGGGTGGGATTCGAACCCGGGCAGGAAGAGTCCACATTGCACTATAGTTTGTGTGCTCATTCGAAGCACCTGTGTTTAGAGAGCGATCTGCACAGGCGAGGTTATTTGACGGTCAGAATGCGGCACGAATAGCAATGTCCTAAGTCGCAGTCGGGAAGGGTGGTGTTTGCAGTAACGAACTGTGACAGAGCAGGGAAGGATGCGACAGGACCACGCTCTGCTTCATGGATCCATGTTCGCCTGTCTTGCCGAGTACCCACTTACAGCATCAGTGTGCCACCGCTTTGACCTGAGAAGAGCCCCTCTCCTTAGAAATGGCAGTTTGTGTCGCCTTCAGTGGATGAGTCTGTTTAAGGGTCGTCCTTGAAAAAGAGACCCCTCCGTCACCCAGTCTGGACAGTCCAAGCATGTCAAACTCGCTGCTGGCGGGCCGCATGTTTGACATGCTAATAAACAAGGCATGCGGCCCGCTGGCCGCGAGTTTGACATGCTTGCATGCTCCCCATGGGTGAGTGATTCATGCCCTAAAGCAGCCATACCTTCTTAATCCTGGCAGCTCTAATGCTAAGACAAAGGAACACACATATTTCAAAGTTCTTGGCAGGGCTGAAGCTACACCTCCATCTGACACTAAAAGCCTTAATGTCCCCTCCATCTCTTCCTCCAACAAGTACACAGGCTCAGTCGGCGTTGGTGGTATAATGGTGAGCATAGCTGCCTTCCAAGTATACAGGCTCATTGCAATCCCACCTTCTGGCCCCAGGGGCTGCCTAAAAGCCATTCTGAATCCCATAGTGCCAGGGTGACCCCCAGGGGGCACTGTGGCTTCTTCTCCACAGGCCTGTGAGCTTGTGTTGAATTTTAGGGAATCTATCCTGGTTGATCATGTGCCCAACCAGTGTCTTCTAAATTAGGGGAAAAACTTGAGAAGGTGCTGGCTATTTCTTCTGCTCTAGATCCTCTAAAGAAGGGTAGGAAGACAGCCAGCCGGCGTGGCTCAGTGGTTGAGCATCGACCTATGAACCAAGAGGTCAGGGTTCGATTGCCGGTCAGGGCACATGCCCGGGTTGCAGGCTCCATCCCCAGTGGGGGGCATGCAGGAGGCAGCCAGTCAATGATTCTCTCTCATCATTGATGTTTCTATCTCTCCTTCCCTCTCCCTTCCTCTCTGAAATCAATAAAAATACATTTTTTTAAAAAAGAAGGGTAGGAAGACAGCCTTCTTCTACTGACTCCAATGCCACTGTTCTTACAACTCAGTTCTCCTTCAATACCTACGGAGAAATCGTTGTGTGCAGTATGAGAACCTCGGGTCTTCCAGTCCCGGCCACTCCTTTTCACAGATGCTTTCTCTCTTTCTCTTACCAAATGCGCTATAACTGTAGCCTGAGAGAGTCGCTCCAAAAGAGGTCTTGCATTCAGATGGACACATTCAGACCCTCACCCACTCCCCTTTCTGAAGTTGTTGGGCGTGGATGAAAATGGCTCCCAGTTGAAAGGGTGGCCTGCACCAATTGAGATGAATTTCAGATACCCGAAATGTATTTCTGGCCATACTCTCTGGACCCACATTTTCCCAGGTTGAACATGGTAGTCAAAAATTTCCAGAGATAACTAACTTGACTGAGAATCTTGTAGCATCTACAAGATAATGTTCTTATTAATTATTCATACACCCAACAAATGTTCATTGAGCATTTTATATGATATTCATGCTGGGACAGTAGAAAGTATAAATTATAATCTTAATCATCCATCAACCTGTGATCTGATCATAAAGACAAGACATAAAGATATGAAAAGTAATGACTTAAAATAATAATACAAGTAGAATTATAAGGTAGCCCCTAAGGACTGCCAAATGATGGGTAAAGATAATAAGTACAGCCCAGCTGGTGTGGCTCAGTGGTTGAGTGTCAACCTATGAAGTAGGAGTTCAGGGTTCGATTCCCGCTCAGGACACATGGCTGGGTTATGGGCTCGATCCCCCCCACCCCCCGCCCACAGTGTGGAGTGTGCAGAAGGCAGCCAATCAATGACTCCCTATCATCATTGATGTTTCTATCTCTCTTTCCCTTCCTCTCTGAAATCAATAAATATATATATACTAGAGGCCCGATGCACGAAATCTGTGCAAGAGTAGGCCTTCCTTCCCCCAGCTGCTGGCATCAGCTTCCCTCTGCACCCGGGACCCGGGCTTCCCTAGCAGCCCTGGCTTCATCTAGAAGGTTTTCTGGTCTAATTAGCATATTGCCCTTTTATTATTATTATATTTTTTAAAAAAAATAATAAGTACAAGCTGAGGAGGAGAAGGAGGAGGGAGGAAATGCTGATTATGAAAAACACCATCTGAGCAGGTGAAGATGAAGGTTAATGGTCAAGTGGGAGGAGGATGTCTTCCTACCCTTCTTTAAAGGATCTAGAGCAGGAGAAATAGCCGGCACCTTCTCAAGTTCTCCACATAATTTAGAAGACACTGGTTGGGCACATGATCAACCAGGATAGAGTTCCTAAAATTCAAAATAAGGAACCTTAGAATAGGGTTGTAGTCATAGGGAAATGGCTTCTTGGTTAAAAAAAAACAAAACTATTAACCCAGTCCAATTTGTTTGTCTGTTTCCTAATATATCCATACCTATGAGATGTTTGTACTTTCCCATCATACCAGACAAACTTAAGGGTCATGAACCCCACCCTGACTCCACACCAACGTCATTCCTCTTCATTTCTGCCCCAAGCCAGAGATGTTGATGGAAGGAGTCCGGTAGACATGCACTGGCCGTGTCTCCAGGGAAACAGCCATGGACGAGGGAGATGGGGAGGGAGGCATGGTTAGGGCATGATGAAGGAGTTGCGTCCGTTCGGAGAAGAGAGACAGAATGTGGGCGGACAGGGAGAGGTGAGAACGAGAATAAACAAAGGCATGGGGAGACGTTGGTGTCGGAAATACCAGCTCAGATATGTGTGAACTCGAAGAGCCTCGGGGGTGGTTTGGATGGAGACTGTGTGGTGTCCATAAATCCCAAATGCCTCTTTGCTCTCTCTCGGGAGAGTGAGCGATGTGTTTCTTTTAAAAATGCAAACATGGGTACGAAAGATCAAATAGTGTTTCCTGAGTGTAAATTAGAAGTTGCTTCCCGAACTGGGGACTCGTCTCCTTTCCCTGCCTTGCCAAGACTTCGTTTGTTCCAACAAACATCAGAGCGCCATCTTGTCTTCGCTAAGTCCCCATCAGAAGGATGTGAAATGAAAGCAATGCTCTTTATTGCAGAAAAGAGTGGGGATTAGAGACGTTCCTTCCCTCGGCTGTGCTGCAGAGCATGAAAGAGAAGAACATAAAGAAGGCACTTTCACACCTTGTCAAAGCAAATCAAAACTTGGTACCACCCGGCAAAAAGGTATCACATTTGCATCTTAATAGAAAATGGATTTTAAAGAGAGAGGCTTGCGTGCATTGTTTAAAAAACGTTTAAAATTAGCCCATGAATAAAAGACTTAGCCCCATATTTTCAGAAGCAGAAACATTCTAACCTTTTTAGTTTTAACCATTAACATGTTCCTAAGACTAATGAAAAATAAGTATTTTTATGGAAACCTATTTCTTTCTTCCAAGCTATAGGCTTGTATTGTATGGGGGTGGGAGGTTGGGGGGTGGGGGGGAGATGGTTGTTCACATGGGCCCGAAGGAGAACCTGGCATGACCTCTGGTTAGAGCAGTGGTTCTCAACCTTCTGGCCCTTTAAATACAGTTCCTCATGTTGTGGTGACCCCCAACCATAAAATTATTTTCGTTGCTACTTCATAACTGTCATGTTGCTACTGTTTGGAATCGTCATGTAAATGTCTGATCTGCAGGATGGTCTTAGGCGACCCCTGTGAAAGGGTCTTTCTACCGCCAAAGGGGTCGCGACCCACAGGTTGAGAACCCCTGGGTTAGAGGCTAGACTTGCAAGAAAATTGTACATTTCCATATGCTCTTGCTTTCCACTCAGACTAGCTCAAGGGTGCAGCAGCCAGCGCGGGTCCCTGCAGGCCGGATGCCACGTTAACTAAACCAGGGGTCCCTACATCAGTACCACTGACCTTGGGGACCAGATTATTCTTTGTTGGGGCTGTGGCTGTCCTGCGCACTGTGGGATGTTTCGCAGCATCCCTGGCCTCTACCCGCGAGAGGCCAGTAGCACCCACCCCCTCAACTGTGACAAACAAAGATGCCACCGGACATGTGTCCTGGGGCACAAACTCACCCCAGGCTGACAACCAGTGAATGAGACCTTACTTTTGGAAGGATGATGAAATGATTTCTGTGTTCACCATCGTTCGAGTTACAATCCTTTTTATTATCAAGTAGGAGAAACACAAAGGATATTTAAGAATATACTATTGGTCAGAATAAAGAGCTGTGTTTATAGGTAATACAAAGCGCAGGGTGTCAGGAACCGGGGAGAGAAAGGCCTTGAAACTGGAAGAAGCCTACCAACCCAAGGGCATATTCCTGTTGACATTGGCCATAGGAACTCAGGAGATGCCAATACAAATCACTGTTTATATGGGCAATTCTTTGGTCTTAGGATCTGATCTTGCGTCATTTTTACTTGCTTATTGCTATTCCCTCCCCGCCCTGTGACTTTATTTTATTTTAATTTTTTTATAATTGTTCAATTTTGTTATTAGTTATTGCTGTTAATCTCTCAGTGTGCCTACTTTATAAATTACACTTTATCATACACTGAGTGGCCAGATTATGATGACCACCCCATCAGTACTTCATTGACACTTCCAAAAATACTGAATATTGAAAACTTCCTAAGCAAATACTCTCAAGGTTTTATTATTATTATATTATTTGCATAACTAATTCACTTCACTTCATTGTACTGATGGGGTGGTCATAATAATCTGGCCACTCAGTGTAGATATGTATGTATAGGAAAGAACATGGTATATATAGGGTTCAGTTCTATCTAAGGTTTCAGGCATCCACTGGGGGCTTTGAAATATATGTCTTACAGATAAGGGGGGGACCATTGTACTCATTTTCTTTATACCATGTTGCCACTTGTTTTTATTAAATTATATTGGGGTGACGTTAGTCAACACGAATATACAGGTTTCATGTGTGGATTACTAAGTTACAAAATCTGTATAGAGCATCATGTGCCCACCACCCAAAGTCACATCTTCTCCTGTCACCTCATATTAGAACCCCTTTCTCCCCCCACCCCATGCCTTTTTTAAACAAATAATCCGATTCAACATACTTATCGCCCCTTCAACTTACTTCCGGTTCCTGGAACCATTCAGCTCATAGAAATGTAGCAGGACATCACAGATAAAAATTTTTAAAATTTCAGTTCTGATTTGCCCAAAGCTAATTTTTTTTTACTAACTTGATAGGTTTTTTTTTTTTTTCAAGCCTGGCCCACTGGTTTTCTCATTTGGATGCCTGCTCTAAGATTGATCTGTCTATAAAGGTCATTCCTTCTAGCCAAGAGTGAGTGGTTTGCTTTCGAATTGATTTGCAAATTGCTTGGGGTTTTTAAAAGAAATAGGATGGATGAACAGTCCTGAATGCCAGTTACATAAAGGGTAGTGCGCTTAGGTGACTTAACCAATGAGTTGGCAAGTTACCTCCGATTGAAAACAGTCACTGCTACTGAGGGTCTACGCTTGTTGGAAATCTCGCCCCCAACAAACATTCCTGGCACGTTCAGTATGAACCATGGACTGTTTTTTTAAATCAAGTACTTTTTTATGACATGGGAATCTACATATTTAAGTCTTTCTGAAGATAAATTTCATCTGGATAAAATTTCATTTGTGAATCAGTCATGAGCCTCAATAGATTCCCGGAGTCGAATGAATGAAACAGGGACTTAGAGAGCAAGTTCCAACACTCCCACAATGCTTAGGAAGTTCATTTTCCCCTAAAAACTTGCAAAGACTGTGAGAAACTTGACCTGGGCGTGTAGAGCCTGTTTAAAGGCTTTAGATAGATGGCAGGTGTGTATTCAAAACCTCTCCCACAAACGGCATACAGGCAGGTCTCCTATTGGTGGGAGAATGTACAGCTGCCTTTGTCCCTGATTGCAGTTGGAGACATCACTCGCCTTTTGAAACCTCCTTATGAGTAGATGTTTCAGTGGAAAATTTTATCATCTTGTTCTCACTTTTTAAAAAAAAATATTTTTTAATTAATTTCCTAGAGGAAGGAAGAGGGAGAGAGAGATAGAAACATCAGTGATGAGACAGAATCATGGATTGGCTGCCTCCTGCACACTCCCCACTGGGGATCAAGCCCGCAACCTGGGCATGTGCCCTTGACTGGAATCGAACCTGGGACCCTTTAGTCCACAGGTCGATGCTCTGTCCACTGAGCCAAACCGACCGGGGCTTGTTCTCACTTTGTTGAGTGCCCTGGCCCAGCGCCCCTGTACTTATGAGTCCCCCCTACGTTTCCCCAAAATAAAACAAATTTAATCCAAATGTCCTGCCGCCGCCCTTCATCAGGAAGCCAAATACAGAGCGATTTTATTTCATTTTCCATGACAAGTCCTTGTCACATGCGCCCGTTGGCGGTCATCTCATTTGCCCTGGTTTTCAGCTGGTCTCCGGCAGGAATGGAGTCACACCCAATGGAGTTCACACCTGATGTCTCTTCTCTCCCCACAGCTCTCTGCCCTGCAAGCCAAGGTCCATTATCTCAAGTTCCTCAGTGACCTTCGTCTGTATGGGGGCCGTGTGTTCAAGGCAACACTAGTGGTAAGTTCTTTCTTTTTTCTTTTCTTTCTTTTTTTTGTTTTGTTTTTTGTTTTGCTTTTTCTGGAAAGTCATGGAGGCCTGGAAATGTCACTGCAGGGGCTGTCTTGAATGAGCTGCTCTTGATGACAGAAACAAGTCAGCTGTGAATACTTGCCAGCCTTTGTTTCTAATTCACTGCACCACAGTCTGAACTGTGGGAAGAAATGTTAAACCAGACACGGCACCGCAGCGTGCCCTGGGGAAAGGAATGGGAAGACCCAGAAGTGATGTATTCTGACCATGGCCCTCCTTTCAGTCATTGGGCCAAAAGTTGCTTTCACATAAAAAAAAATTTCTCATTTCTAAAAACCTCTCATGATTATGAATGTACATGCTATGGCAACATTGACTCTCTACATTATTCTTAATTTATCAGAGCCTCAATGCAGTCATATATCTGGTTCTTCTAATTGGGTGACTTAGTACAATAAAACCTAGAAATGCTTTCTAAAGAAAATGGAGTTTTGCCCAGCCAGCGTGGCTCAGGGGTTGAGCATCAACCTATGAACCAGGAGATCAGGGTTCGATTCCCAGTCAGGGCACAGGCCCGGGTTGCGGGCTCCATCCCCAGTGTGGGGCGTGTAAGAGGCAGCTGATCAATGATTCTCTCTCATCATTAATGTTTCTGTGTCTTTCTCCCTCTCCCTTCCTCTCTGAAATCCGTAAAAATCTATTAAAAAAGAAAATGCAGTTTTATAAACATTCTCTCGGGTCTTAGAAGTCTAGTATTTTTATATTTTGTCAATGTCCCTTTCTCAGCAGGCAGAAAAGCGCTCAGAAGTGACCCTCCTGGTGGGGCCCCGATATGGCATAAGCCATGTCATAAACACCAAAACCAACCTGGTGGCTCTCTTAGCTGACTTCAGCCATGTGAATAGGATCGAGATGTTTACCGAAGAGGAGAGCTTGGTGAGGGTGGAGCTCCATGTGCTGGACGTGAAGGTAGGTCGGCCAGATGTTGGCACATGGCCTTGACTGGAGCAGCCCATTTGTGCTACGCTGCTGCTACTTACAAAGCATGTAGAATGTCCATGTGTCCAGAGCATCAAAGAAAAAAAATCCACCCAACTCACAGGGACAAGTCGCTCTTCTTCCCTCGGCTCAGTTTCTTCTAGTCTATGTAAGAGAGCAAGCAAGTTCATTTCTAAGGTCCTTTCAGCTCCGGAATGCATGAGTCAGAGAGAGTGGGAGAGATTTTTCGCTTCTAACTTTTTAGAATGTATGAGTCTTGTATAGACAGGGAGATTTTCCCCAACTCTGATTAGAACTCCCACTCCCTTGCGTTAGATCTGGTCCCCTGTGTTTATGCTTTTGGAAAAGCTGAGCATTTTAGTCAGTCTGTCTTTTTGTACTAGAGCAATGGGTCCTGATTCCTATGAATGTCATGGCCATTCCATTTAAAACAACAATCTGAGATCATCCTCAAGGGGTAAAGCTGTACTCCCCAAACAGAGGTTGTTAGGAAGTGATCAAGGCCCCCTGGCCCCACCTTCTTGTCCCAGTAATAGATGAGTTGTTGGATTGGGGCATTGTTGATGTATCCAGTGTTTGTGTAGAGAAGAGGCACTGACCAGAAGAGAGGCAGTGACTCCACAAAGCAAACACTGTCAACCAGAAGTGCTCTGAGAACAGGCAGGGGGGACCCACTCCCACCACAGTGGCATGGGCAGAGCGGATTAAGAGGAACTGAGAATATGGGACAGGGTTTCTACACAGCAGGGTGGACAGCATCAGTGCTCTGCAGAGGAAGAGATGACCTCGAGCCCTGACTGGTTTGGCTCAGTGGATAGAGCGTCAGCCTGCAGACTCAAGGGTCCCAGGTTTGATTCCGGTCAAGGGCATGTACCTTGGTTGCGGGCACATCCCCAGTAGGGGGTGTGCAGGAGGCAGCTGATCGATGTTTCTCTCTCATCGATGTTTCTAACTTGCTATTCCTCTCTCTTCCTCTCTGTGAAAAATCAATAAAATATATTTTTTTAAAACAAGAGAGAGAATGTGCAGCTCCGCCATGTTGGCCATGGTCCATGGGATTTCATGGGCTAAACCCAGGGACTTTCTTTGTCTTCAATGTACAAGAGTAGACTTGGAATGCCTGCCTGGTCTATGATCAAAGATGCTGAAAACAATAGCTCATCATGGGAAAAGGATGAATTGGATGCAGTCATCACAGACCTGCTAACTAGGCATAATCTGTCCCAAACAGAAGTGGCTGGCAAGACCCCATCCATGGTTTCCTGCCCCTATAAATAATTGTGGGGTGCCTTGAGAGGAGACCTCAATTGAAATGGGAGGAAAAGGCAGTTCAGTAACTAGTAGAGCGGCTTTGGGTGGGAAGTTAGATTCCACCAGTGGGAGCGAAAGCAAGAGGCCTATCATCTCACTATTTCTGTGTCTACCTGGGTGTCTGCTTTTTTGTTCTCTTATTTCCCTCTTGCTTTGTCTCTCAGCAAGAGCACGCCAGCCCCTCTACCCTTCCTAACTCAATGAGAATAGTTGCTTAAATTGAACATTTCCTTCCCTATATTCCAGTGGTTCTCAACCTTCCTAATGCCGCGACCCTTTAATACAGTTCCTCATGTTGTGGTGACCCCCAACCATAAAATTATTTTCGTTGCTACTGTTATAAATCGTAATGTAAATATATGATATGCAGGATTTATTTTCATTGTTCGCGACCCAAAGATCCATGTACCAGGAAATAAGAACCTCACTGGTTCCAGAAAGTTTTATTTTTTAGCAAGGCCTTTTCTCATCTCTCCTTTGACCTCCTGTTAATTGACAGTTTCTTTTAGAAGCAGCCTCTTTCTGGATCTATTTGACACTTTTTGTTCTGTCTTAGCAGTAATTTCCACTTCATTTTTACTTCCCTTCAACACTAATTTTCATCATGAACCCAAACTTCACTTCCTATGATTTTTCAGATTATGGGTTCAGATCTGCTAACAAACTCCTTAACTATCACTTTTTAAAAATGTTAACTGTTTGGGAACAAAACCAATGTTGTTTTCTTTCTGGACTTGGAAAAGATTCAAAATGTCTAGGTTTTAAAATGATGCCACCTACATGTTTCTCAGTAAGGCTCTCTGTGTTATGCCTGACCTTTTCCCCACATTTCTGTTTTTCCGATGAAGTGGTTGCTCAATAACTTTTATTGTTTACCTTTCCTATGCACAAATGCAGTCGTTGTCACCGGAGGGAAGAGAGCCAGGAGAGATGGCTTTAACCAAGTCGTTCTCTTTTGTGTAGCCCATCACGCTGCTGATGGAATCATCAGACGCCATGAACTTGGCCTGCTTAACAGCTGGATACTACCGGCTACTTGTGGATTCCAGGAGGTCCATCTTTAACATGGCCAACAAGAAAAATGCCGGGACCCAGGAAACAGGTATTCTCTCCCTAAACTCACGAAGCAGTGACTCCCCTTCCCACCCATTTGACCAAAACAATAAGGATATTTTTTTTTATACGTATACTAGAGGCCCGGTGCATGACATTCGCAGTCCGGGAGCCCTTGGGGGATGTCCGACTGACGGGGAGCGGGCCTAAGCTACCAGTCGGACAGCCTTAGCGCTGCCACAGAGGCGGGAGAGGCTCTCACCACCGCCGCTGCACTCGCCAGCCATCAGCCCGGCTTCTGGCTGAGGGGCGCTCCTGCATTGAGCGTCTGCCCCCTGGTGGTCAGTGCGCATCATAGCAACTGGTTGTTCTGCCGTTTGGTCGATTTGCATATTACCCTTTTATTATATAGGATATATGTCTTTATTGATTTTTACAGAGAGGAGGGGAGAGGGGGAGAGAGAGAGAAACATCGATGAGAGAAGAACATCATCGATCAGGTGCCTCCTGCACACATCTCCACTGGGGATCGAGCCTGCAACCCGGGCACGTGCCCTGATCGGGAATCGAACCGGTGACCTCTTGGTTCCTGGGTCGACGCTCAACCACTGAGCCACAGTGGCCAGGCAGGATCTTTCTGGAAAAGTGAAAATCATATGCATAAAAATCTAATGTCCAGATTTAACACAAGAGCCTTCAAGTCCATCTTATATGGCCTAATTTTTTTCTCTGACAATGTTGATTTCAGCATCACATTTTACATGTCACTCGGAAATGCGGGGGTATGTGCTCCACAAGCAGGGATTTGATTACTGTCATGGGAGTGAGCATCAGTCTGTATGGCTGGGTTTTAATGTCTCCCTCTCCTAGGAGTCAACATGCAGAGAACTAACAATAGGATGCCCCGTAGGAAGGGGGAGCCCCCACTGTGGGCCTTATCCCTCCTTGAGGTGCTCTAGGCCTGGGACCCTCCTCAGGCATCCGACTTACCTCCAGGATCTGGGATCTCTCCCAACAGGGTGACTTGGGTATCGCCCAGGACTTGGATTTGGGGCTTTAGCTCTGTATTGGGAGCTTGGAGATCACCAGCATATCAAATACTTCACTCCTGCCACTTGACAGGGTGAAATAAACCCGGAGTGAGGACAAGGAGGGCTGCAACCGTGACATTGGCAGTTTCTCCGAGGGGGGGGGGGTGGTTTCCGTTTGCTTGGAAACTGTTTGCTTCAGTGTTTGACATTTCCTCCGTCTCCAGGGGACGCTCAGTAAGTGTGGCTGATGGACAGACACAACTCTTCGAGCCAAATCTCCTGACCCGTGAACAATAGCTCATTGCATTTCGTAATAGTCTGATTGGGTTCCGTAACAGGGTTTCTGTGGAAGACAGGGAAATTCTTAAGAACAAATTCCATCTTCGGTGTTTCTGAGGGCAAGGAGGAAGAAGAGGAGGAAAATTCTCTTGCGTTTACACAGCAGGAACCATAAAGGATTCCTCCAGAAATGTCTTGTGGTGTGTACACACACACACAGACAGACTCGCATGCAGTATGTGATGATGGCTGGTTAGATGGCAGCCACGCCAGTCACAGGATCAGGGGAACCAGAGGGCGAGAAAGAGATGGACAAGGCATGCCCAAAGCAACTTGGACTTGAGACTAGATTTACTCCAGCCCCACCTTGAAATGCCTGTGTGTTTTTAAATTTTTATTTATTTATTTTTAATCTTTATTGTTGAACGTATACATCTGTCCCTTTCTCCCTATTAACCCCTTATGCCCCCCCCACCCCCACCCCAGGCCTTCACCACCCTATCGACTGTGTCCATGGGCCATGCATATATGCATGCAAGGTCTTTGGTTGATCTCTTACCAGCCACCCACCCTCCCCCACCTTCCCTCTGAGATCTGACAGCCTGTTCCATGCTTCCATGTCTCTGGATCTATTTTCTTCATCAGTTTAGTTTGTTCATTGGATTCCACATGAGTGAGATCATGTGATAATTTGGGTTTTTTCATTTGTAGAATTGGGATTTAAAACCTAGCTTTCAAGGTAAGAACTAGAAAAAAGAAATCTTATGTACCATCCCTAAAACGATGCTCAGTGCCTCTACTAATAATTGGCAGTGGGGAAAAAAAACAGAGATGGAAAAAGTTCAGAATGAAAGTGACAAAAACACAGGAAGGAATGGAAGACAGACATAAGACAAGGAAAGACCCCGAGAGACACAGACGATTAGAAATAAATAGGGAGGGAACGAAACGGCGGTGGTGAGCATTGTTGGGTTTGGTGGGGAACATTTTTCTGACCACGTGTTTCCACTGACTAGGAGATTTAGAGCCATTTAACGCCGACCTTTGAAATTCCGAAGAGCAGTTCAGCAACTTAACACGATCCTTTAACATTTGAAAACCAGTTTTGGGCTTTGTCTTTTCAAATCTTAAAGTTTATCTTGAAAATATAACCTTTTGCAGGTGCACGAAGAAGAGCAGACAGACCACTCTAAGACTGGTTACAGTCGTAAGGGCCTGGGTTCTGCCCACTTTCTAGTGACTCACAATGTAATGTTTAATGAAATTTCAAAAGGCAAAAACTTAGTTCCAGAAAGTATTAGCACCACGGGGAAAGAGTGGAATTTCAACCTTTCAGTAATTTCTCCCAGTTCTACAGTGAGAATGAGGGTGAGGGCACGTGTTGCAAGTATCTCTCTCCATTCTGAGAGAGAGAGAGAAATTGAGAGGCAGAGAGCATGAGAGAAAGAGAGAGAGAGAGAGAGAGAGAGAGAGAGAGAGAGAGAGAGAGAGAGACGGGGGGAGGACAAGGGAGAGAAATGGCATACTCCAATTGCCTTGCTTTTAGCCTGCTGACCTGTTTAGTTTTCTTGTTGGTTTAATTCAGGGGTTGACAAGCTATGGCTCATGTGCCAAATCTTGTTCTTGTAAATAAAGTTTTATTGGAACTCAGCCATGCACATTGGATTAGTTTCTTAGGGCTCTGTAACAGAGTAGGTCAAACTTTTCGGGTGTAACATAAGAGAAACTAATCTCTCACAGTTTTGGCAGCTAGAGGTTCAAAATCCAGCTGTTGGCAGGGCCACGCTCCCTCCAAGGGCTCTAGGGGAGAAACTTCTCTCGCCTCTTCCCACTTCTCATGGGTGTCGGCATTCCTTGTGGCTGTGTAGCTCCGATATCTGCCTCTGTCGTCACATCACATGGCCCTCCCCTCGTCTCTCTGGGGTCCACATCTCCCTCTGCTTTCCTCTCATGAGGACACTTGCCATTGGATTTAGTGCCCTTACAATAGTTGAGGATGATCTCATCTCTCGATCCTTAATATAATTACATCTACAAAGACTCTTTTTCCAAATAAGGTCACATTCACAGAATGGACATACGTTTTGGGGCCACCGTTCAGCCCACTACATCCATTTGTTTATGAATGATCCCTGCTGCTTTCATGTTACAACAGGGTTGAGTCGTTGTTTAGCTGAGCAGTTGGTCCGAAAAACCTAAAGTATTTACGATCCGGCCCTCCCCTTACAGAAAAAGTTGGCTGGACTCTGGCTTAAAGCCATCACAACTTTGCTGAACCACTTTCGCTCCCCCTGATAATCCATACCCCTGATACACCTGTGCATGTGTGTGTGTGTGTGCACGCGCACATATACACACACACAGCCAGTCATAATGTAGGTTGTCATTCATGAAACAATCCACAAAGCAGTATTGATAGTAACACACTGGCCCATCTTGTTAAACATAGGAACAAAATCTCCACCGCAAAATCCCTATAGAAAGACCCTTGAATCCCAGCTGGCGTGGCTCAGTGGTTGAGCGTCAATCTATGAACCAGGAGGTCATGATTCGATTCCTGGTCAGGGCACATGCCTGGGTTGCGGACTTGATCTCCAATGTGGGGTTTGCAGGAGGCAGCCGATCAATGATTCTCTCTCATCATTGATGTTTCTATCTCTCTCTTTCTTTTCCTCTCTGAAATCAATAAAAAAAATTTTTTAAAAAGAAAGACCCTTGAAGGGCAAACAAAACAATAGTTTTTAAATTAGGATTTTGCTGTTTTAATTCACGCAGGCCATCAAACAAGTCTTCAGAAAGTTCTCATGACACAAATAAAAATTGAAATGAGTCAAAGTATTAACTGTGCTTGGAAATAGCAGAGAGAAGTACATTACCTCTGTGTGCTCCACCTTCGGCACCATATGCGCATGTGCGTACAGGCATGGATACTAACATTCATATGGATATATAAAGAGCCACTAGGATATAAAAGAGCTGAAGAGAGGTTTTCGTACTATCATTCCAATATTTATTATTACATTATATTTTATTGATATATTTTATTTTTCATGATCATTACAATATCTACTAAGATACATGGTAGAAGTATGTGGATTCTTGACTTTCTCTTAACTCAATGAGGAAAAAGGCCCCATCTTCCTCTACAAAGTGGGTAACGTTAGATCTCGCTTTACAAAGTAAAGGGCAATCCATGTTCTGGAATAACAGCCTAGTGGCCTGCCACCTTTAAGGATCTGAAAAGGCATGTTTTCTATTCACCTTCACAGATGGACGTGAGGTCTTTTAATAATAGAATTAAGAGCCAGATGGAATGAAGCTATAGTTCCCTACTCTCAGATGGTATTGGTATATTTTATCAAATAGCAATGATAATTTATGCAATACCAATTCTGTTAAGGTCAGTTCTCCTAACCAAGAAATCCTTACACCTGAGGCCTAAATCGACCACTGCCATATTTGGAAAGCTCAGTAATCCTGTTTGTATAAAAGTGATGTAACAAGCCATTCAATTAAGAAACAGCCCAGCCAGCATGGCTCAGTGGTTGAGCATCGACCTATGAACCAGGAGGTTCGATTCCCGGTCGGGGCACATGCCCGGGTTGCAGACTTGATCCCCAGTCGGGAATGTGCAGGAGGCAGCCAATCAATGATTCTCTCCCATCGATGTTTATACCTCTCTCTCTCCCTCTCCCTTCCTCACTGAAATCAATAAAAAGATATTTTATTTTATTTTTTTATTTTTTTTAAATATATTTTATTGATTTTTTACAGAGAGGAAGGGAGAGAGATAGAGAGTTAGAAACATCGATGAGAGAGAAACATCGATCAGCCGCCTCCTGCACATCTCCTACTGGGGATGTGTCTGCAACCCAGGTACATGCCCTTGACCAGAATCGAACCCAGGACCTTTCAGTCCGCAGGCCGACGCTCTATCCACTGAGCCAAACCGGCTTCGGCTAAAAAGATATTTTAAAAAACAACAGCAAAGCAGAGACGAGGCCCCCAGAAAGCAGACAGCACTGTAATGTGTCTTTGCATGATTCTTTCTCCTTAGGAACTGAAAATAAAGGAAAGCTTAACATCCTTGGCCCTGATTGGAACTGTATACCCCAAATGACCACCTTTATTGGCGAAGGGGAGCAAGAAGCCCAGATAACATATATAGATTCCAAACAGAAGACGGTGGAGATTACGGATGGCACCTCGTGTCCAAAAGACCACCGGCACGTGTACATCGCCAACACCTATAATCCCGATGAACTCAACCCTCAGCTGGCGCAGCCGGGAGACGCTCCGTGTGAGGCCGACTACAGAAGCCTCGCTCCGCGGTCTCTGTTGACCTTCTCAGGCCCAGAAACTCTCAAGAAAGCACAGGAGTCTCCGAGAGGAGCCAAAGTGTCCTTCATTTTTGGAGATCTCGCCATGGACGAGGGGAGCAGCCCCCCAGCTCTCAGCTACGACAGACTCTTGGACGAGAATCCGGAGCTGCTGGAGAAGCAGGCGAATCTGTACATGAGAAGTGCCAACGACATGAAGAACCTGGACCTCGCCCCCGACGCGGAGAACATCCCGTTTGGGGAAAACTCCGTGTACGCGAACATCGGCGACGTGAAGAGCTTCGAGGCCGCCCCGGGCATCGAGGAGCCCCTTCTCCATGACATTTGCTACGCGGAAAACACCGACGATGCGGAGGACGAGGACGAGGTGAGCTGTGAGGAGGACCTCATGGTGGGCGAGATGAACCAGCCCGCCCTCCTCAACCTGTCTGGCTCAAGCGACGACATCATTGACCTCACGTCCCTGCCGCCTCCAGAAGGGGATGACAACGAGGACGACTTCCTGCTGCGGTCCTTGAACATGGCCATCGCCGCGCCCCCGCCTGGCTTTCGAGATAGTTCGGACGAGGAGGACTCTCAGAGCCAGGCGGCCTCCTTCCTCGACGGCAAGGAGCCGGGCGGCGGCCTGCAAAACGACGAGATCCCCGTGTCCCTCATCGACGCGGTGCCCACCAGCGCCGAGGGGACGTGCGACAAGGGACTGCCTAAGCCCGCCGTCTCCCCGCTGGGAGCTCTGGGAGCTCTGTCCGTGTCAGAGGAACAGCAGACCAGTAACAATTCAGGTTCTTTCACGATCGTTACGTTCATTCACTGATAAGCTCCTCATCACTCATCCCATCCAGCCATCTGCCCTCGGAGCCCCGTGTGTGCTGTTGTCCATCTCACGCATGTCCCATTTCATACATGTGCGGGCATCCCATCATGGCTTTTTTGTGTATGTGGTTTCTTTTCCTTTTTTAAAAAAATAAAAATAAAATATATGTGGCATGTTCCCCGCCCCCCCTGCCCCCCCATTTCTGGAACATCTGTGCAATAAACTCAGAGTCCTCCCCGAAAAGGGAAACGCTCGCTTGGTTTGGTTCTGTTCCGTTCTGATCACAATGATGCCATTCTCGCCCGCGTCCCCGGTGCCTCTTTGCAGCCATTAATCGCCTCTTGTTTCTCACGGCATGCAGGTGTAGCCATCTTGAGGGCTTATAGCCCCGAGTCTTCCTCAGACTCGGGCAATGAGACTAACTCTTCCGAAATGACGGAGAGCTCTGAGCTGGCCACGGCGCAGAAGCAGTCCGAGACCCTGTCCCGCATGTTCCTGGCCACGCCCGAAGGCTACCACCCCCTCGCCGAGGAGCAGACCGAGTTCTCCGCCTCCAAGGCCCCGGCCGCGGCCTTGCCCCCCAAGGCCTCCCACGCCCTGGCCGCCCGGCCCGTGCCCGTGACCGTGACCGACGGGCCGTCCAAAGTCGTGCCTTCCAAGCAGATCCTGCACTCAGACCACATGGAGATGGAGCCCGAGACGATGGAGACCAAGTCGGTCACGGACTATTTCAACAAACTGCACCTGGGCTCGCTGGCGTATTCCTGCACCAGCAAGAGGAAAAGCAAGCTGGCCGACGGGGAGGGGAAAGCGCCCGCGAGTGGGAACGCGCCAGGGAAGAAGCAGCCGGGGGCCAAGTCCGCCGAGGCCGAGGAGGACGCCAAAGGTAAATTTGGGACCGTGTCTTCCAGGGACGGGCCGCACCTGGGCGCTTTTTAACCTGGAGAGAACTGCCTTCCGCAAGAACAGCCAGCGATGGTACGTGGCCCACGGAGGGCGGGGCGGCTGACAAAGGTGGCCTGGAAGCAGCCACGGGGATCTTTTCCACGCGCTTCCTGGGTCTGGGGCCACGGGGAGGGCCGAAGGGAAGGAAGGAAAGGGGCTCCCGCGTGGGGAAGGCCCCTGAGGTTTCAGGACTGGGCCAGCGGGACCACTTCTTAACTGACGCGACCTGTGTCCCTTCAGCCAAAGACTTAGACCACCCAGGGGATGCCGACCCGTCGACCTGTGACCGTCCCTCCCAGCTGGCCGGCGCGGGAGGAGAGCGTGGCCCATCTCTGTGACTACCACTTGGCCAAGCGGATGTCATCGCTGCAGAGGGAGGGCCATTTTTCTCTCCAGAGCTCTCAAGGCTCTTCGGTGGACGCGGGCTGCGGCACGGGCAGCAGCGGCAGCCCCTGCCCCACCCCCCGGGAGGCCCCGCTTCTGCGCTCCGCGGGCAAAGGCGGGCCTTACGGCCTCCGAAGAGAGAGCCCCCGGGCTGCCCAGCACGGAGCCCCCTTTAAGGAATCACACCCTCAGCCGGAAGGGGTGTGTCCCCGGATGACAGTGCCTGCCCTGCACACAGCCATTAATGCTGAACCCCTGTTTGGGACTTTGAGAGATGGATGTCATCGACTCCCCAAGATTAAGGAAACCACAGGTACAGAAATGAGGGATTTCGCGCTTCGCCTGATACACCAGGAGCGTGTAAACCCAACTCACAACAAACCTAAAAAACGTGAAATCTCTGTCCTAGCCTGTGTGGCTCAGTGGATAGAGCGTCGGCCTGCAGAAAAAAGGGTCCCGGGTTCAATTCCGGTCGAGGGCAGGTACCTGGGTTGCAGGCTCCTCCCCGGCCCGGGCCCTGGTCGGGGCTCGTGCAGGAGGCAACCCATCGATGTGTTTCTCTCACATCGATGTTTCTCTCTCTCTCCCTCTCTCTTCCACTCTCCCTAAGAATCAATGGTAGAGATGGCACTGCTCTTTAGAATCTTGCTCTGTTCTTGCTTTTAGAATCTGAGGGAGCAGTATTTGTTTCTAAATTCTAAATGCAGACTTTCAGCAGTGCCCTGGGTGACTTGTGATAACAAGATAATATTGCTTAGAGTCACAGAAGGGTCTGATTTTCTTTTGAAGGTGTTGGATTTCTGATTTTTGCCATTTCATTTTTGAGAGGCAAGGAAGGATCATAGAGCAAGGGGGTCAGGGAGTTGGAGGGACTGGGAGAGATCATTCGCCTTTCAGCAATAGTTACAGATTCCTCTTGACTCTGTAAGACTCCCAGCGGAATATTCTGATGTGTTAATGAGATCTTACATTGGTTAATGTCTATTCCTGCTCTTTTAAGATGATCTACTTTCTCAAAACCCACCACTCAATTTAAAAAAAAAAGCCCTAGCCTGCTGGCTCAGTTGGTTAGAGCACTGTCCCCATCCACCAAGGTCACGGGTTCAATCCTCGGTCAGGGCACATACAAGAATCAACCAATGAATGCATAAAGAAGAGGAACAGCAAATTGATCTCTCTCTCTCTGTCTCAAACCTAAAATCAATTTTTTAAAATATATTTTTATTGATTTTAGAGAGGAAGGGAGAGGAAGAGAGAGAGAGAAACATCAGTGATGAGAAAATCATGGATCGGCTGCCTCCTGCACGCCCCTTACTGGGGATCGAGCCCGCAACCCGGGCATGTGCCCTTGACTGGAATCGAACCCGGGACCCTTCAGTTCGCAGGTCAGTGGTATCCATTGAGCCAAACCAGCTAGGGCTAAAATCAATTTTTTTAAAACCCACCACTGGCTTCACCTGCCATGGGAAACCCGCCTGTGAATTTACATAATTCATCACCGATCTGTTATCTTTATCTCTAAACTAATTAGAGCATGCTTTCACCAACTTACCTCTTCTCACAAAAATTCTGTGAAATGGAGATTTTCTTCACATAATTTGCCCAGTGTCTCCACTTCAAAACCTGTACCAGGAGAATTTCATGGGATCCTCTTTAAAAGGCGAGCTGATATAATTTGCATTCAGTAAATTAGGCCACTTCTTTATAAAAAATTAACAGATGCCAGGATTAACCTAACTCCCTTGAAATGAAACTTGAGTGTCATAAACATGTTTGAATAGTTTATACCTAGAATGTGCGTTTTTCTAATTATGTGTCTAAGCTTTGACAGGTAAATGGGAGCAAACCAATTCATGTCATTCCATTGTCTCCCTGGAAACATTGGGGATTTCTAGACAATTCCAAATGAATCAGCAGTTTAAGAAATAACAGATTACGGTATTTTTTTAATGTGACCTCAGAAGTCAGTCTTTGGAAAGCGGGGTGACCCTGACAAATGGCAGCCCTTCTAGAATGCATCCTTGGGAAATAGCAATCATCACAGAGAGATGTAGCGAACTGACCGCCATACGATGTTTAATGATTCTCTCTGTTTTTCCTACTACCCCTAGTGTAGCTTTGACAGAGTCTGGGAAGGAGAGACGAGGAGGCATGCCTTCAGTGTGGTCTCAATATCCTGAAGTTGATCCCATCCTGCTACCATCAAACATTCACTCGGAATCAAAGGTGCCAATTCCAAATCAAGACCCCAATGATTTCTCCCAAGCATCCCAGGCCTACGGAGAGGCTGTGAGCTGGCAGCCACTGGATCTGAGAGGGGAGAGCCATGGGACACCCCCCAGCCAGAGGGCTCTGAGACGTAGCAGCAGCGTCCTCTCAGGATGTGTAGGTTTGGAGACCTTCCGAGAGAGAACCAAGGGTACAGTCAGCTTAAAGTGTCCAGGTGTCACAGAAGAAGCACAGGAGGCCACTTCAGAAAGGCGAGCAGAACTCCCCCTGGGAAAGAAGCTCACCAAAAGTTTTTCCCAAAGCTCGATGCACTTTAGCCCCGACGGGAAGGCCCACAAAAGGTCCCCGGTGGCTCACAAAGACTCAAAGCTGTATAAGACATTGCCTTTGAGGAAGCTGGAGGGCAGCAATTGGAGATGCCGGGGACCTTTCAGCTACTGCTTCCTAAACCGAGGGCAGGATGAAGATGAGGATGAGGATGAAGAGGAGGGAGCACCCACCCACCGGGTCTCTTGCCTCTTTCCACTACAGATGACTAAAGCCATGCCGGAACCAACCAGCCCACCCCTGGCTGTTGGGATTCAGAAGCAAGAAGGGGAGCTGTCCAGGTGTCCAGTGCTGAAGGTCTGGGCCGAAGACCTGAGTGGCCCGGACGACACGGACTTCAGCAACCTGGCTTTTGATGCCCGGATTGCAAGAATAAGTGCCCTAAAGCAGAGCACATATGCAATGCCCGATGGGTTCCTCGCAGCCCAAAATGATGCCAATGAGCTGCTCTGCCTTGTCAGGGCAACCAAGGGGAAGAGAGAGGAGTCACGCCCTGAAGCATATGACCTTACACTTTCTCAGTACAAGCAACTGTTGTCCATTGAGTCCAGACAGTTAGGAAGTGCCTGTAGGAAAATGGCAATGGCCGAGAAAAGCCCAGAGGAGATGCTCGTAGCTATGACTTCCAGCTTTCAAGTGCTCTGTTGCCTAACAGAAGCTTGCATGCGATTAGTGAAAGTCGTGAGCTCCGAAACACAGCGGCAGGAAATTGTAGTGAAGATCGATGAAGTGGTCATAAACTACATTTGTCTCCTGAAGGCTGCCGAGGCAGCCACAGGAAAGACCACTGGGGATCCCGGTGTCGGGCTGTCGACGCGACCTTCAACCACCATGGCCGCCCTTGTAAGCACACTAACACGTTCTCTCAAGATGCTTTTAAATAAATAAAAGTGTGAAAGTCACATCATAATCTACCTTTGCAAAGCCATACATGAACTTTTATTTCCTTTCTTTCTTGTACGATGAACAGACGTTTCCTTTCTTCTCTCTGTATATTTTGTTATTTTGTATAAAAAGGAGATAAAAGAGTCACATTGGTGAGATGTTGAAATGTACTAATCAGATGTATTCTGTTTATATGATACATATATACATGTAAAAGAGCTATACGAGAAAGTGATGACATTTGGCTATTTTTCATATAGTCGAAACTCGGGGTATATGAAGTGAAATTTTAAATTCTGTGTTAGAGCAAAACAATGAATCCCATCCCCTTTCCTTCCAAGTGGATATTTGGAGACCATGTCGTTCATATTTAGAAATAAAAAAAAGAAAAGAAATCACAATGTATATAAAACAGTACTTATGTTTTAAAATTATGATTTTTAAGCATTGGAAATAGCAAAAAGACATTTAAAATCCAAGAAGCTATTATGAATGATTAGAGAAGATATATAATAAATTAATTTTTTGCTCATAGCATTTGGTTATCTGATGCTTTCTTCCAGGAATCCTACATTTTTCATTTTGGCTTATTCCATTTGGGTTCAAAAAGGGTGGAGGTGGATTCTATTGTGTCAACACAAATGCTCTGCCAGATGTTCCTAGAATTAAAATACTTCCCAATAGAAGAACAGAGAGAATGATGAGCAGGTTCCTGGGTAATACCTAGTTATAGATTATCTAATTACATAAAATGAAAGAATAATACTAAAATTAATTTTTTGATGAAAAGACAGATCTGCTTTGACTAAATGTCAAAATATGTAAACCAAAGACATCATCCACCTCCCCAACTCAACCATGAAATTTAGAATTCCCTTAAGAGTGACAGAACCTTTAGTAAAGTATTTGCAAAATTACAAAAAAAGAGGAACATTTGATGATTCTTTAAAGCAAGTGCAGATCCAGTCATGGAAAGCAGACTGCACCACAGAGCTCCATACCGCACCTCTACCGGGGCCAATACTTCCAACCCAACTTGGAATTACAGTCGAACACTGGGACAAAATTTCAAATCCGGAATGTTCAGCAAATCAGAGAGAGATGGCTACTCTACTATAGAAGCCATGATTAAACAAATCATTATTTATGAAATGATCTAATCTGGATTGGCCTATAGATATATGAAAGCTGAAAAAAAATAACAAGTGGTCAATTTGACCACGTTAGGTAAAACCGATAGAATGCAAAAAGGTTTTCAGAACTGTCGTCTCTCTCAAAATGTATCTTTGGGTCAAAGCAAAAGAATGCAAACTCTGCAATTGTAAAATAAAATTGACATGTACATATATAGTTCATGGGTCATTTAGTGCTCAAGCTACACACACTCCTATTTATGTACGTGGCTCCTTCAAATTTGACAGGAGTATATGCCAAGTACAGATATTTCCATTTTTGTAGCCTACTGGACAGGAGGCTTAACACAGTCTACAGTCGCTGTCTCTCATCAGTCGTTCTATAGAGACTCAGTAACAAAAGTCACACATAGTTGTAGATGGTAGCATACAAAAGGAGTTTAGACATGTGTTATTCAAAATAATGTTTAAATAAAACATTATTTTATTACAATTCTAAATATTGATGTTTGATATTGAGAAATCTTACATGTGTTATTCAAAATAATGTTTAAATAAAACATTATTTTATTACAATTCTAAATATTGATGTTTGATATTGAGAAATCTTAATGGTGTTTACTGTGGAAATTTTTGGTAAATATTCTGTGTACTAAAATACTAACATTAATAGGATGTGTGTTTGATGTCAGACAGTGTGCTAAACATATCACATATATTATCTCATGTAATCATCACAGCCATCTTATGGTTTGGACACTGCCATTAATTCCCTATGGAGGCAGTATTGTTACGTAGTTAAGGGCATGGGGTTTGAGGTCAGAAACTTGATTTCTGTTTGAACTCTGCCATTTTCTCGCCCTCTCATCTTGGGAAAGCCAATCCATTTTTTTCTCTGTCTCATAGGGTTGTCATGAGTTTTAAGTAAACTTATGTGTGTCAAGTTCTTACCACAACACCTGGCAGATTAAATAATTAATGTTAGATTTTATTATCCTCATAATGATTGTGTTAAATACAGTGCCCAAGATAACATGTGGGGATATTTGCTTTATATGCATATTATATCCTGGCTCCATGTGCGGAATACATTATGTGTATTGCATATGTATAAAAGAAATGCTAAGGAAGTGATGCTCTTTGTTCAAATCACATATTCAGTTGGAACAACTTCTTTGTTCATTTCAGTTCTTTGAGAGGCCGCAGCGAAATCCCTCTGGGTCTTTCTAGTCCATTTCCCATTATCTGTGGGTGCTCCGATAAATTTCTGTTTCTTATCAACAAACTCTTTACGACTTAGGAAACCTTAAGGGGTCCCCCCACTCACCACACATGGGATCCTAAGTGGGGTCCATGTCCAGTAGAGTATAGGAAGAATGATTTTGTGTTGATTTTTCTCTAGCCTTTTTTATGTTTGCATATATTTTATAATGGCATAATAGTACAGTGGTATATGTACATCATTTTAAATAAATAAATGAATTAACAAGCATATGCCTGGTGAATGTATGCAAAAAGAGGGTCGCAGGTAGGGTTGCATTTACTAAAGTTTGGAGACCGCTGAAGTTAGAGAATAGAAATTCCTTGTACTTGCGGCTCTTTACATTTATTCCCCAGCCTCTATTCAATTGTATCACCTCTCATTTTTATTAATTTTTTATCATAATACATTCAAGCATACACAAAAGCAGGCACAATGATAGAATGAAACAATATGTACTCATCACATACCAATTCATGTCTAATTTATTTTCTCTATTTCTACACATGTCCTTCCACACTGTATATATTAGCAAATCTCTGACATTATAGCACTTAATCCATGACTGTTTCAGTAAGAACTTTCTATAGATAAGAACTTTTCAACTTAATCTCAATGCCATTTTCACACTTTTAAGAATTATTAAATATTACCAAAATAAATGATGAAGAAAGTGAAAATCCCTATAAACCCAACCCCAAAGACAGTCATTGTCAACAATTTAGGGCATCTTTTTTCAATTTTTATTCTGTATATATATTCATGTTATTATTATTGTATGTGGTTATGGATTTAACTTTGTTCTGACCACACTTGCCTTTCTGTTTGAGTCTCAGATGCACCATGTTTTCTGTAAGTGGATTGGCCAGAATGGATACGATTGACACGCCCAAAGACATAACACTCAGATGAACCACCACCATAGCATCACCATAGCATCAGGCTTACGGTAAATCCAACAACTCATGCAATTGCCTCAGACATTAACATTAACACAGACTCACTCCCAGAATTAGTCTAATCACGAAATAAATTATTTTTCCAGAAAAGAAAAATAATCTTGAAATGAGCAGCTACAGTAGCACTGCAATGGGTCGATGCCTTTCGCTATAAATTTAGGACTTATCTTAGGAACAACGATCTTCATTTATGTTCCTGTCACATACATTTCTAAATGCCAGCTATTTTTTTTTTTTTTTGGTGTTACTGCTGAGCTCCTCGGGATGGCACTCTTAATTCATTCCTCCTGGGTTACTCTTGATTTGGCAATGGGAGAAGTTTGCTCTGTGACTCGTTTTCACCATTCATAATTATGTTGACAGTTTTTGAAATCAGAGGAAAAGCAAAATCAGCCATGATTAGGTGATTCCTATGGCTTCCGAAATCAGAGAAAAAGCAAAATCAGCCATGATTAGGTGATTCCTATGGCTTCCGGACATTTAGAAATTGTCTCTGCTCGGAAAGTGTTCGGTTTTTTTTGGGGGGCGTATTTGGGTGTATAGAGGTTTGGGTGTATAGAGATTTAAGTTCAGTTTTTTTGGGGGGCGTATTTGGGTGTATAGAGGTTTGGGTGTATAGAGATTTAGGGGAGGTGTTTGAGTAGTGTTTGGGTAGATAGTGGTATAGGGGAGGTGTTTGAGTAGATAGTTGTATGTGTTTGGGTGAATAGTGGTGTAGGGGAGGTGTCTGAGTAGATTGTGTGTGTGTGTGTGTGTGTGTGTGTGTGTGTGTGACTAGTTTTTGGTTTGGTTTCATGGATTTCAGAGTTCGTTTGCCTCTGGCAGTCCCAAGGTGATGATAAAACTTTCTCTTTATAACATCCCAAATCTTTCTTTAAAGTCAGATGGCAGAAATCACTTCTCAGCTTTGAAAGATCAAAGAGGCAGAGCCTTCCCTTTTAAACTGCTTTTTCATTCATAACAACCTGAACCAGAAAACTTGGATACTCTTTAGTTATTTCACCTCGTCCCTGGCCGAACCCTCTCACTTTTTAATTTCAAAGTCTATATCTAGGAAATCCACGGAAGAACAATTCGTGTCTTTATCAAATATTTCTGCCGCACAGAATAATGGACTGACTTAAATCCTGCTCCGCTGGAAGAAGTAGATAAGCCAGCAGCTCATCCCAACTAGCTCACTTCACCATTCAGCCTGCCGCCTTCAGCTCAGCTGACTCTAATCTTCCCTCCACATTTTTAATTGCATCTCAATTTTCTGTTGCACATTAATTCTAAAGCGCTGAGGTGTGGCGTGTGTTTTTTCATTGTACCTGCTATTTCTCATTTTCCACTCCACACTTTGGACCAAAATTCTGTGCCATTTGCAGCAGCAGCATCCACACCTTGAGGCAGAAGGAGCTTTGGGATTCAGGAAGCTAAGCCTTCTTGGTAACCGCCGACCAAGTGATGTTTCTCCTGATTTCATTTTGATTTGTACCCTTTGCCCATCCTATCCTTTCGCTAAATGATCCATGACTCCTGTCCCCACTTAGAATCTGGATATGTCCATTCGTTCATTCAAATAGCTATTAACAACTTCCTAATCTGAGCAGACCTTGTGCTAGGTGCTGGGGGTGGGGTACAATGGAGAGCATCATTGACATGGTCCCTGCCGAAAATTCTAGAATGGGTCATCCCTTGCCATGTGTGAAGAAAGGAAGGGACTCAGAGTGAGTCAGCACGCAGGCAGTGTTTACTGCGCATGTGCAGGGCTGAAGATGCCCGTGGCAGCCCAATCTGTGCAAAGCGATCTTAATAAGCAGTGAACACAAACTGCAGTTGTGCCGTGACCAACACTGATTTTTTTCCCCAAAATATCACTCTCTTACTGTCAGTTATAAATGTTAAGGATGTGGGAAAATATAGGACAACATTTCTTTAGTATACGGTAATTTAAACATTAGAAACTTTGAGAATTAAAGTGGGTCTTCTTTGTAAAGCCTTAAAAACAGTAGTTTGGACAGCGTTTGCCTTCTCTGAGTCATCATATAACTTATATGGAGTGAGCATCTTTTCTGTATTTTGGCAAATCCTCTCGAAATTTGGATCCGCTTCCAACATGTTATCATTGGTACTTTCAATGTTGGCAAATATCTCCCAAGAGTTCCTCTCATGTGAGTGTCTTTTTCCCAGGGCTACTTCCTCTGGGACAGCTTCATCCTTTTCATCACAGCCACCGCGGTGATTTCTGTCGGTAACCGCACCCTCTCTGCCCTCCTCTGGCCTGCACGACTCCCATCTCCAACAGGGGCCATGTCAGCAGTTCCATAGTCAGCTGTCTTCCTCCCCTTACATTTGCTGCTCATTTCGCTTCCCGTATTATCACTGTTTGTTTCTTTGCTGCACTTTCGTCTGTGTTGGCCAGTTCCCTCTTTCAATCTTCCATCTTTAGGAGATGTTACGTGGCTGCCCTGAGGTCTTAAAGGCTTCAAAGCCATCTCCGACGTGGCTGCTCATTTTATCAAGCCTGCAGGGAGAATCTCTGGCCTCAAGGAGGGCCTAGTCCCTCCCACTTTTGTGGGTTTTCACCTGATCAAGCCAGGCCTGCCCAGGATAATTGTGCTTTTGGTTGACTCAAAACTAACAGATTGGCGTCCTTCAGTCCATCTTCCTTCCCAGTTGCCAGATTCCATTGTTCATAAGCATGTCACAGGTCCTAGCCACACTCAAGGGGAGAAGGCTGGGCAGGGCATGACCACCAGGGGCAGGACCACCCAAGGGTCTGTCTGCCATGTCCTCTAAGGCTCTTCCCTCAGGGTAGCCAGTTGAAATACAGACTTGAAAGGCATTCGCGACCGCAGCCCTGACATAAGCCATCAAAATCCACATGGGCAACCTCCAGCTTTCTCTGCCCTGGCCCATTCTATGGATGGATGTTTGTGTTAATATGCCAAGTTGCTCTGGGCTGGGAATTCCAATACTTTTGATGTACTGCCTGTACAGGTGGGGATTTTCTTAGCGTGAGGTCCATAGGAAAGTGTTCTGAGGCACTATGACTGTATTCACTGCGCTCATCCCAGAGCCCAGTTATGACTTTGAGATCGGGTTAGACTGAATAATTCAACTGGCAGATGAATCACTAAAGACGCTGGACTTTAACCAGCGGGACCATGTCTTTCTCAAGGATTTATGGGAAGAGGGGTTAGTCCACTGAGGTCGCTTTCTCCTAAGTTGTTCATGTTGAATTTGGTCTCCAATCTATTGCCCGTATGATATTGATGGCATTAATAATAATACTGCCTAATATTTATTCATGCAAATGTGCCAGGTACTGTGCTACATGACCTTCATGCGTCATTATCACATCTATTTCCTAGAACAACCTTTGAGAAATTACCATTATCATCCCTTTTTTAAGAAAGAAATTGCATTTAGAGACGCCACATAGCTCGCCCCCAATCACGGATGTTAGTCAGAATCAGGATTTGCACTCAGTAATGGCAGTTTCGTTCATCAGTTTTGGGCCAAGTAAATAGCGTCATTGTTTTTCATCTAACAAATACCAGCATGTATTTTTTTAAATTTAAGTTCCATCAAAGAACTTAGGACAAAAAACAACCATCTCCTGTCCTGTAACTCCCCACCCGCCTTGCCAGTTTCAAGGCACAACCCATTTCATCAGTTTCTGCTTTTAGTTTTTCTCATGGTTTTCTCCTTAATTCTAACGAAGTTTTTGACTTACCAATTCTGGATGATTTCGATTTCGAATGACTACCTCTTGAAGAAGAAGGAATTCACTTGCTTACGTTAGCCCTCGCCTTTTATTCTACTTCCCTAACTAGTGTTTGATAGATAGGGAGATTATTATTATGTTCTATTCTTGGTTACCTAGTGAACTTGAAAAATTCTAATTGCAACTCTGCTCTTTAGACGGTCTCTCTGGAGTCCTCATCTATGTGGAATGAAGCTGTGTGTTCCCTAGCCTGTGTCCCCTCTTCTCCCCACTTCTTCACTTCCTCCTCTACCTTAGGCCACCAGTACCTTCGCGTTTACATTGTTGTTAAAAACAATGCTTCCTACAGTGTTTAAGGATCAAAATTGTGTAACCGTTGCAGCCTGGGAAAACCGTGTAGTCAACTGCTTGCTCAAGAAACTAAGTCATTCAGCGGCCGGAACAAAGAGCCCTCCACGTGGAAGGAAAGAGGAAAGAGAGTTTCCGGTGACCTCATGGTATCTTAAGCTGGGGGTTCTCAAAGGGTGGCCCCCGAACCAGCAGTATCAGCATCACCGGGGAACTTGGACACAGACTCCTGTGCTCGTTCCCAGACCTGCCCAGACCCTCTGAGGGTGGAGCCCAGCAAGCTGGGATCTCACAGGCCTTCCAGGCCATTCTAATACATGCTCAAGTCTCAGGATCACTGTGTTAAATGATTGACAAGATTTCTCAAAACGATGCCATGTTTAGATCCCTTTGTATTTACTTTCGAGGTTTAAATCCCCCCCCACCCTGCAGTTTCTATTGATACATTAAAAACCACCCCAAAATACAGAAGCGTAAAGAACCGTTTATTATTGCCTCTCCTGGTTCTGGGAATGGGCTCAGCTGGGCGGTTTTCACGCACACTCTCTCCTGCAGGTGCCGGCAGGTGGTGATGAGGCCAGAGGAGGCCTGGCGGGGCTCGGGGTGCTCCTTGTGTGACCAGCAAAGGGCTAGGAGCTTACCTGAGCAGTGGTACCTGTGACCTGTCCATGAGGCAGGCGCCACAGCATGGCGCTCTCAGAACAGCAGCGCCTCCTACAGCGGGCTGGCCTCCAAAATGGAGCTTCTCAAGTATCCCCAGAGAAGCAGGCAGAAGCTGCAATTCCTATGCCCCAAGAGCCTTTTGACTTCCTTTTCTAGTATCAACCTGTTTTTATCGTAATAAACACCATCCCGGGACTTCCCTTCCCAGCATCCTTCGAATGGGCCCCACGGTTTCCTGTACCCTATATCGCCTAGAGAAGTGTTGCCCATAAAGATGACGTGGGAAGTAGCCTTTTTGAATCTAGCCTGTTTGCAAACGCCTTCACTCCATCCTTCTGCCTCGTCCATCATTTGGCTGCCTACGGGATTCCGGGTTCAAAGTCACATTCCTTGAGAACCTGGGTGTCATTGCCCATCATCTCTTTGCATCATTTTGCTAAATGTTATTCTTGTTCCTTTAAAGGTCCCCCCCCACACTTCACCTAGAAGATCTGTTGCTTCCATTCCCTCCAAGCATGAATTTCACGAGGGTCCGTCTAGGTCTGGAATTTTCTTTCATTCATTCTGCCTGGAATTTAGTGCATCTTCTGAGAGCTCGTGCCTTTCAATTCTAGATTGCTTTTCTAGCCCGGCTGGCGTGGCTCAGTGGTTGAGCATCAACCTGTGAATCAGGAGGTCATGGTTTGATTCCCGGGCAGGGCACATGCCCAGGTTGTGGGCTCAAACCCCAGTGTGGGGCGTGCAGGAGGCAGCCGATCCATGATTCTCTCTCATCATTGATGTTTCTCTCTCCCTCTTCCTTCCTCCCTGAAATCAATAATAAAAAATATATTTAGATTGTTTTCCTACTGTTTATTTCCCCCCTCGAAATTTTCTCTGTGGCCGTTATCTAGCGTTCAGTGAAGAGAGCAAACCAGTTCCAGAGGTGTCAGCTCCATTGTTGTCGGAGCCCTAGCTTGGCATTTATATGATTTTGGTGACATTTATATGATTTTGGTGACAACGTGGGCAAATGGGATGTGTGGACATCCTGTCCTGGCCGTGACGGAGGTGTGTGTAATTATAGCTCTACTTAAGCACACATTGATTTAGATTTGATTTTTGTATACTTGAAGCCTACATTCTTCTCTGTAATTCCTACATTCTTCTCTGTAATTTTATGAAGTCGATTCCTGTGTACCACCCACCCGGATTGATCAGATCCTAGCAACGTACCTTATCGTTTTGGATCTTTGTTTTAAAGAAATAAACAGAGAGAGTGGCAATGCTCTGAGCCACCTGCCCCAGCCCCATGTCCCACGTTGCTTTTGTATCATTCCCACGCAGTTCTTCACAGATTGACCACATGATGAGATGTCCTTAACAATGTGTGATATTGTTTGGCATGTTTTTTGAACTTGATGTAAATGGTATCATACTGTACATATCCTTCCACACTTTGATTTGGTTATTTAACATTCGTTTTATAAGAACTATACCTTTTAATAGATAGCGTTTTCATTCATTTCTCTTTATTGCTTTACAGTAGTCTATTGCATATTAGAATTGAGATTCTGCTGTTAATGGACATTTAGATTGTTTACAATTTTTTGCTATTAAAAACACTGCTGCAATGAACATTCTTGTACCTGTCTCTTTGTGCATATCTGTTGTGGTTTTTCTCTAGGATGTATGCCCAAGTGTGGGGTTTGAGAAATAGATGGGTATTCTTCAACATTACTGGATGGGTTCCCTTCCATGGGCAGGCCCAACAATCCATGCTGATGGCAAGATCAAGGGACGCCATCCAAGCTAAGTTGGTCCGAATCTTCTTTCTCCAGCGATAGTTCCTGAATAGCTGAGGTTTCCTTCCAGTCTGTGAAAACAGGCTAGATGATTTTACAAGAAGAGAGAGAGACCCCTAGTCAGTTTGGCTCAGTAGATAGAGCATCGGCCTGAAGACTGAAGGGTCTCGGGTTTGATTCAGGTCAAGGGCACATGCCTGGGTTGCGGGTTCAATCCCCAGTGAGGGGCGTGCAGGAGGCAGCTGATCAATGATTCTCTCTCATCATTGATGTTTCTCTCTCTCTCTCCCTTCCTCTCTGAAATCAATAAAAATATATTTTTTAAAAAGAGAGAGAGAAGCAGAGAGATATAAAGACAGAGATAGGTATATGCTTATTGCTCTCTCTGCAATTAATTATGTACTAGTATTTCCTAACACCCACCATAACCTATGCCGGGCCAGCACAGCCAAGGGTTCGGTGAGCCTGAGGGGGTGGTGGTGAAGGATTAAAGAAAAGACAGACAAAGAGAATAAGCTGGGTCTAGGTGGATCTCCTGTGCCTGGCTGAGGCCACAGAGAGAGATCCAGAGGCAAGTTGAGCCTTTATTTTATAGCCAGAGGTAAACAAAGTAGTGGTCACCATAGTTACACTGTTCTTGTGAGTTTCACTTGTTTTGCCAGCACTTGGCTGCACCTCCCACAGCCCATTAGCTACCTAGGTAAGATCTAGGGAGTCATAAGGTCA